TGCTTTGTCTTCATGTATGTCTGCCGTCTATTTGTTGCAATAGGCTGTTGAACAAAAGGTCCCGGTCCCCAGACCTAGATGTTGCCATTCGCATATTAATTGTCACTATACATTTATGTATCTACATGTATGTCTGTGTGATTGTATTGTGTCATCTTGTTGAATGATTGCAATATTGAAATAAATGTATAATATGTGCAGTGGCGTGAATTTATGCCAGAAATAGGGGGCTGGTGATTTGTGGGGGATGACTTGCCCTTCTGTGGAAATTTGAAAAGCTGAAGGGGGGTGGTAACACTAAATAGGGATGATGCTCATGATAATATAGATGTTCCTCTGTAATACGTATTACAGTCATGCAGAATCTTACATCGAAATTTTATGACTTCTTAAATTGTTTCCGTTTTTGAGTGGTACTTCAGAAGTCCAAAAAACTTTTCACAATTTGCTTTAATTAAGTTTTTGCTCACCACAAAATAATGGGCGTGTTTGTGTGTCTGTGAGTGTGTAAACGCCTTCAATCGTGGACCTATAACAATAGGGACAATAAGGTCCACGGTTGCCGAAGAGTCCACGGTTGGAAAACTTGTACAAAACATATGGGAGGTCTTCCGAAAAAGTTAAAGTATGAACAAAAGAGGAACAATAGGGAGTCCACGATTGAAGGCGTTTACACACTTGTGTGTGTGTGTGGGGGGGTGTAGTTCAATAGACCATTCTGCCTCCCAAAAGTGGAGTGATGTATACCCCCACCCCCTGGGATTTACGCCCATGTATAATGCATAAGAAAGATAAGTAGGCTTGCTGCTGTAATGTTTGAAGTTGGTCTGACTAGTATCAGTTGTATGTTATTGCAAACTATACACGTGTCGGTGAATTAGTGCAGGAGCTGACATTATCAAAATTTTAAAGGGACATCTGTGTCTTTTAAGTGACAGAAGTATATGAAGTAGACCAAATATAAGAACAGTAACGGTTAGGAACAGCTCCTGGTTTACCTTGAGGGGAAATGCACACAAATAGAAGTGTTTTAAAGTGCAGCTGCAATTAATTTCTTTCTACCGTTCTTGTGTGACAAGTCTTTGGTTAATATGCACTGGAAAGTGTACTTTTTAAAACCGTTTAATTTATCCATGCTTTCATGGACAACTGAGGGCGCTGTTGCCTTGATGTCATAAAGGGAAGACAAAGTTCGGTGCATAGGTTTTTCTGTTCAACTTGTGAACCAAGAATTTACTTACTGAAAATATTTCAGAGAAAGGGCTTGATGCTTGTTAATTATTATGCACATGAACAAGGAATCAGTAAGGAAGAGACAATTTTTCCAGCAGAATTCACAAAAATCCAGACCCCGTGGTATACAGACCAATGTAAGATTTAGCTTTCTTCCTGGGATGACATCATAGCCTTGTCATGAATATGTAAATACCATTAGCATAAAAACAAAAAAGGCAGAAAAATCCCGTTTGAAATAGTGAAATAAAAGTTGAAAATAAGGTTAACTAAAAAACACAGGTGCATTTCGCCGATGTTTGTATTGAACGAATTGATTACAGCTACCCATTACGTAAAATATCAGGCTTTCTTTACAAAGATCTTGGCTTGTGTTAACAGTTTTACAAATTAACTTGTTTTAAGAACCGGCTTTCTCCCTTAAATTTTGAGAGTTTAATGTTGAAGGTGAGTCAGTGTGTCAAGTAATAAATAGCTTTTCATTAATTCCAATTTAGGAATTGCCATGAAAAATTTAACGTAGCCTAATGTTAAATATAGTCGACGTGGCAAGTCAACATAGCCTATTGTTGTAGTCTTTCAAAGGGAATCAGACAAAATATCTTTCATGACTTGTCTCACTATCCTTGCAGTATGTATCAAATACTTTAAAAAGTTTTTTCGCCTACTGCAACATTAACTACAAAAATTGCAAGTGAATATATAGCTTGTCACACTGCATTACATTTAATTTCTTTTTGGTAACAGTGTTGACTTCAGAAAAGTATTCGAACTGGTGAACTAAATCAACATTTACAAAAACACTATTTTTGATCCGAGTTTGGCAGCATAAATCTAAAATATTGAATCCCATAAACGCGAAAGATTTAAACAGCCTTATTCTTCATAAAATTGTTCAACCTTGTGCCTCAGACAGCAGATGACTTTCCTTTCAAATTAAGCCTTTCCTTAACTTCGACTATCTTGCAAAAGAATGTCTGCTGCTCAGAACAAACACCAGGCTCTAGTTAATACTAGAGACATCCACATTCTCTAATATGAGAGAAAACAATTTAAGAACCATTTATGCATGTTTTTCCTAAAAAGGCAGCTTTCTTGTTGCCCTTTTATTTTTAAGAAAAGTGTTTCATCATAAATATAACGACTGCCGGGCTCAATGATTTGGAATTGAATGCTTAGACAATGTACTGTTAAGAGAGACTTCATTGCCCGTACGCCTGGGTTCATAGTTTAGGATATTGTGCAATCTCACACAGGGTGACACGTGCCCCGTCGTTATTTGTGACAGCGTTAAAGACTGGTCTGGAGTGACTGACATCAATAGGTATCGCTTAAGGTCCATTCTACTAGACAGTGTAAATCACTTCGAAGAATTTTTGACAGCGTTGTTTACGCGTTTCGCAAAGTGACCTATTTCGATGCGTCAAATTCGTCAAAAATTCACATAGGTCAAACCATGTACACCCTAATAATATTTTTGTAATATTGATAGCTACCGTTATGGCAAACTTAATAATTAGTCAATAGAAAATCAGTTTATTTATGATTGAAAGCACTTTACAGTTCTCAATGGGGGAAATTGCACGATCACTTACAGTCAGCAAAAATATTGATTGGAAAACAGCCTAACGGGAAGCTGACCAAAATTGCACTTCATTTTACCATAAAAAATTACCATAAAATAATAAAAACTAGCTTCCCTCCTCTAAAAACATTTATCAACTACTATCATTGCGAGACTAGTTTTATAAAACAGACCGCATCCTTCAAACAGTAGCAAAGCAACGTTGGCTGCCTAAGGCGAAGACAGACCAGGGAAATTACACGGTACAAAACAACCCAAAGGGAAATTAAAAGCACAACTTCAATTGGAAATCAGGCAGAGTAACATTCATTCACACAAGTCAATTAACTTTGCATTTTGCAGGTAGAGGAGCTTGTCTTAGAAAGAAGAGGAACGGGGAGATGGTGGTAAAACGTTGCGGACCCTGTTACGATTATTTCGTTTGCAAAACAGGTGAAAGTGTTTGAGACGTAAGACATAACAGCCCTAGCCTTTAGTTTTAAAGAAAACTTTGTAAGGTTCAGCAGCCTGGGCCCTTTATAGATTCAGGCCGTTCCCACCCTGTGCTTTGATTTTACTTAACCGATAGTAAGTTTGTTACAGTGGCATTATAATATATAAGAGATGCTGTAATTAACTCATATTACTTCACAGAGAATTTCTGATCATTACATAAAGCCTTATGTTTTACCATAAAACCAAATCAATGCTTTTTTTCTTTCGATATTTTCCAGACCCTATACTAACTTAGAGTATATTATAAACTTAACTAAACTGTTCACTATGCGCGAGCCCGTGGAATACACGACGCTTTGAATGACGAGCGAGAGTTTCTTGGGAAATTTGCAAACGTATAAATTAAGAGTAGAGACTAAATGATTTTGTTTTGTATTAAATCTGTCAAACTCGACGAGGTTTGGACAGGCGCAAAGTGATGTACATACTGAAAAAAAAAGAAAAGGTTGAAAATTACCATAAAGTGTTTTGTCACGACAGGCCATGTATTAATGAAGTCTGCTTAGATTATAACGCCTATATAGTTTAAGGACAAGGCAAAGGAATACAGGCAGAGTCAAAAGAGTCAAATTAATTATACAGAGATTTATCACACATAAGTTTTTTGGGGTTCAAATATTCAGGCTTGATTACAATTAAATATGACTGAAATCCAGCAATTCCCGTTAATTTCTAAAAATTCACGCTAACTCAATTAAAAATTCAGTTCCTTCATTCCCTGACTGCCAGGTCGATATGCAACTGTGGACTTCGTCTCCCAGACAACACCTAAGCGAAGAGTAGCGTATAGTATAAGTAGTATAAAACAATAAAATTAAGTATAAAAATACGAGTTGCCACACAAAGCACACTAACAGCTGTAGCACAACACACGTGAAACATGAAACTTTCACGATCAAGTTGGTAAATAATCTCATTCCTCAATCAGCGATTTGCCATGACCCCAATACTCATCAAGACGTGTCAGACACTATGACATAATATATTTATACTCAAAAAAGAGACTAAAAACCAGCTATTGCGAGGTCAAATGTTAGTTTTGGTAGCGAATTTTTTATCACGAGATATCCACTCTGCATATGGTGCCCACGCCGGAAAAGGCCTGTCTTCGCATGCGTTTTTATTTCTAAAGGGTAGGGTGACGTACCAAATGAAATTACGGTGACCCCTACAACACGGTTTACTACTGTACGGTATAGTGCCCGAAGCTACGCCAAATGTGATGGCAGCCTTCTTTAGAGCCCCCCCCCCAAGAAGAAGGATTTTCTTCTTTTGACAAAGCGACGGGCACGTACTATTCCAGTCAGTATATGGACAAGATTGGTGCTCAAAAATGAGCTAATATTTTGTTTAAATTTTCATTGAATACAACTTGAAAAGAATTTTCTCTGGCAAATTTGAATGTGTATATGTTATACCTTTAGTAATTGAAGGAGGTCGTAGAACAATGGTCCCGGATCCTCAATGTACCCATCCTTCTTGCCAGAGGGGTTGTCAAAATCAGGTAAGTCCTCACAGACGTGTGCTTGTGTGTATGTAACGAGCATCTGCTGAAAAAGTGAATCTTAGTCCTGTTGGTCTTGTTTTGTTGTTATTCTCTTCTAATCTGTTAGTTTCTGTAAGTTGCCGTTTCTGATAGATTTGAATCTTTTTATATATGGTTGTTTTAATTTTGAAACTGACTCTACTTATCCTTTTGCTACAAGGTTTATTTTCATAATCCAATCATGATACATGTGTACCTTCGGTTTGATAACATTCCCATAACACAAGTATAGGTACTTACCATTGTGTCATGTACTGCCCTCCTTAAGATGTTTCTAATCTCAATTTGGCAGCCAGCCAAACTCCTATCACTGACGAAATGGGAGTCAGGAAATAGCTCCACATGTAGCTCCGGTGTTTTAATATTTGGTCACACTGGATGATGATGTCATTGACATGGAGTAAAACTGCGTAGTAAACAAGAAAACACAAGCTATGAATACGTGCACTACAGTATAACTACACAAACATTACACATGTCTGAGTCTCTAGTCTCAAAATACATTGAGATTCATGCTAATAACTAGTCGAACGAGTACATGTGCATGTAAATACTGAGCTCAATGAGCCCTAAATATGTCTATTTAACAGGCCTATAAGTGCAGAAAATAGCCACACACATCCCCATGAACACGTGGATCGCTTGGTGTGTTCTATGTCGTTGCATCCATATACAACATGCCAACATGTGGGTATATACATGTGTAAACAAGGTAAACTTGACATGAAAACCGAATGTTATAAAGGCCTCTAAACTACATGAAATACCTTTTGACAAGGAATAAAACTGAAATCAACGTACAGGCAATGCTTCACTAGGCGCTATATACAGTTAGCAAAGAGCGAGAGGAAGATTTGTACTTGAAAATGTGGGAAAAAGATGCACAATATCACTGTGAGAAATCTACTGTACTATGGATGAGTGTAAAGCACGGTTCTCAGATTACCGGTCAACGGAGGGCGCTATTAAGAAATACAGTGGAAGCAATGTACACATAACACTCCCCGCTTGGCATCGTTAAGATGTCACTGAATGACCTTACAGTTTCTAGTCCTCTTTAGGCAGCAGCAGTCCGACCTCTGAAATGGGTCGCTTGAACGTCTTGATAGTACCTCCTGCAGCGGCCACCTTAACCTCGACGATGTGGACTCTACAGTCGTCGCTCATGGTTGCAGTGGTGATGTGTCCTATTGGCCACTCATTCCGTGCCAGTTGCTTGTCCTTCAAGAGAACGATATCCCCTGCTTTGAGGTTGCGACGACTCTCTTTCCACTTTCTTCGGCTTTGGAGTATGGGGAGGTACTCACGTCGCCAACGAGACCAAAATGTGCTCGCAAGACTCTGTACTTTTCTGCACTGGCTCTTGAAGAGGTCTTTAGTGTCAAAGTGTCCGGGAGGAGCTGGGGCGTCAACTTTCTGGGTGAGCAGGATTGCTGGTGTCGAGATGTATGGTGACTGAGGATCGGTAGAGACTGGAACAAGACGTCTGGCATTGATGATGGCTGTTACTTCAGCCACGAACGTACATAGAACTTCGTGCGTCAGGTTCAGAGGTTTTCTCTGCAGCAGTATGGAGTCGAGAATTCTTCGTGCTACTCCGATCATCCGTTCCCATGCACCTCCCATGTGTGAAGAGTGGGGCGGATTGAATACCCAAGTACAACCTTGTTCGGCGAGGTAGCGCTGGACTCTAATACCCTGCTGCCGTTCTTTATCAAGTTTCAGCTCATTGGAAGCTCCGATGAAGTTTGTTCCGCAGTCCGATCTCAGCTGTTTAGCTGGTCTGCGGATGGCAAAGAACCTTCTGAGTGCATTGATGCAGCTTGAAGCGTCCATGGACACGATGACTTCAACGTGCACCGCTCTAGTACTCATGCAGGTGAGCAGGATTGCCCAGCGCTTGTTGTTGGCCTGGCCTCCTCTGGTGGGACGCGTGACGACCATCCAAGGTCCGAATACGTCTAAACCTACGTACGAGAAAAGCGGCAAGGTGCTAAGTCGCTTGGCCGGTAAATCTGCCACGGAGCTTCTTACAGGTCACACATTTTTGTAGGACAGAGCTGATGAGTCTCTTACCACCTACGATCCAGAGGCCTGATGCTCTGATGGCTCCTTCGGTGAAGTGGCGGCCTTGGTGTTCCACTTGCTCGTGGTAGTGGCGCACCAGTAGTTTGGCTACATGATTGTAGCCAGGCAGGACTTGTGCTGTTTTTTCCACCTCTGTCCAGTTTGGCATGTCTGAAACGTCCTCCAACTTTAATGATCCCGTCTTGCAAAATTGGGTTAGGCTCTGAGAGTGAACTCCTGCCAGGGACGTCTCCTCTCTTCTTCAAGGCAGTAATCTCGTTAGGGTAAACCTCTCTTTGGACTGACATGATGATGATGCTCTTAGCTTGAGCAAGCTCATCTGGGGTGCGAGGTTTACTGCACTGATGCCAGCCGGCACATTTATTGGACTCGCTTCCTAATCCTTTCTTAAATGAGCGAGCAAAAGGAATGAGGAATGCAACGCCCCTTAAGAGTGAGTTCCAGGTGGAAAAGTGTTCGAACCGCTGCGGGGTAAGCTGTCTCGCCTCTGCCTAGGTGATGAAATTCCTTACTTCTGGTTGGATGTCCGTGTCAGATTTGGGGTCGACCAGTTCGAAATGAATCTGCTTTTGGTGGATCTGGGTGGATTTACGCAGAAAAGCCGGTCCCGTGAACCACGATGTGCTGGTGAGCTGAGATGCTGGAAGTGCCCTCGAAGCATGATCAGCAGGGTTGTGTTCCGTAGGAATGTAATGCCACTGATCAGGTTGCGTTGACTGGCGGATGCGCTTAACTCTGTTGTTTACATACACATAGAAACGTTTGGTTTTATTGTATTTGTACCCGAGGACAACTTTACTGTCACAATATAAGTTCACTGCATCTGGTGTGAGATCAATTTAATCCAGGATGAGTTCTGCTATCTCAACAGCCAAAACTGCAGCACACAGCTCAAGTCGTGGTATGGTGGGTTGAGATTGTGGGGCAAGTTTTGCTTTACCAAAGATGTAGCCCACTTCGATGAGTCCATCGTTGTCGAGGGTCCTGAGATAGGCAACTGCTGCAATGGCTTTGGTGGATGCATCTGAAAACACACACAACTCGGTGCGTCTCATCTTGGTAAGCGATTTTGAAGTGTAGGTTCGAGGGTTGTGGAGGTTCTTCAGCTCTTGCAGTGAGTCCCTCCATGCTTCCCATTCCTTCAGCTTCTCTTCAGGAAGTGGCGTGTCCCAGCTACAAGCTGCAGTAGTCAGTTCTCGCAAAAAGCTACTAAGCCAAGAGAATCATAGAGGCTGTTGACCGTTGAAAGGACCCCACGCCGTGTGAAGTGCTTATCGGCGGCTGAAACCTTGAATGTGAAAGTATCTGTTGTTGTTTCCCAACACAGTCCGAGACTCCTTTGAATGCATTCGGCATCACCTCCGAGGCCAAAATCCTTCATGCTTGTGGCATGATCGTCGGTGGGGAATGCCTCCATCACGGCACCGCTGTTTGAGGCGATCTTGTGTAAACGTAGATTAGATTCTGCCAGCGATGCTTGAGTCCTCTGTAGCAAGTCAATAGCTTCTGTAGCTGTAGGTAGGGACTTGGGTCCATCGTCGACATAGAAATGTCTCGTGACGAACTCTCTCGTGTCTTCACCATAATCGCGTTCACCTTCTCTGGCTGCTCGATGGAGACCGTAGATGGCCACCGCAGGAGATCGAGATGGACTGTTACCAAAGACATGAACTTTCATTCTGTACTCGACGATGTCCTTGGATGTGTCGTTGTCTCTATACCACAGGAACCTCAATTAGTTTCTGTGGTCCTCTCGCACAATGAAGCAGTGGAACATCTGCTGGATGTCTGCAGTCATTGCTACTGGTTCTTTCCTGAAACGCAGTAGAACTCCCAGGAAGCTATTGTTTAGGTCTGGGCCGGTGAGCAGGACGTTATTCAGGGAGATATCATCGTGTTGAGCGCTCGAGTCAAACACGACCCTTATTCG